TGGCTAGGGAGATGGCTCAGTAGAATAAGCACAAAGGCCTGAGTTCAATTCCTGGTTCTGTCAAAATAAATAAATAAATAAATAAATAAATCACGTGTTTTAACCTTAATTTTATTTTATTATTTTTAAAATTTATTTATTTACTTATTTTTGCGGAAGCAGGCAAGCTCTCACTCTATTGAGCCATCTCCCAGGTCCCTTAAGAATTTTAAAACAATATGTTTTCTAAAAATATGCACCTTAGGTCTGGATGTGGTGGTACATTAATCCCAACACGGGGAGGCTGAGGCAGGAGCACTACAAGCTCAAGCCCGAACAACCTAGTGACTTAGTGAGACCCTCTGCCCAAAATAAGAAGAAAGAAAAAAAAGTTGAGGTGCAACAGAGTTTACAGGCCCTCGGTTCAGTCCCCAGCCCTGGGGGGGGGGGATATATATAATTGTCATGTTGACTTTATACATTTTTGTGTGAAGTCATTTCCTGTGCTTTTACTTACATGTAGTCACAAAGTTATTCAGCTACTTAAAGAAGTGCTGGGGCTGGTGAGATGGCTCGGTGGTCTAGAGCACCTACTTAGAACAAGCTTAGCAAACCACAAGGGACCACGGTTCAATCCCCCAGCACCACATGCCAGGCAGCCCGCCCCCTGGTGGGCTGAGCTGGCCACACACACAAATAAATAAATAATAAAACATTAAAAAAAAAAAAAGCAAAGCAAAACAAAAAAGTCCTAGTAATGTATTATGATTATTGTAGTTATTTTTATTCCAGTAGGGCGTGTGGGGGGGGGTGTCCTGGCAAAGAAGGAGCAGGTGGCGGTTAGCGCGCGCCCTCTCTCGGTAGCTTCCGGAAGTGCTCACTGCTTCACCCTTGTCTGCAGCTGTCACCTCTGCCACCTGGCCCTCGCCATGCTGACCTCGCGAGCGCCCCCTCCCCGCCCGGCCCTGCTGTTCCTTCTGCTGCTACTGGGGGGCACCCATGGCCTCTTCCCTGAGGAACCCCCTCCGCTAAGCGTGGCCCCCAGAGACTGTGAGTAGAGAGACGCTGGGGGAGGCCGAATCACAAGGATGGGTCTGCTGGTCCCGCTGGGAGGGGCTCCCCAAGTCGGGGCACCTCTGGCCACCTTGCTCCCTCCGGCCCCTGGCTCATCCCCATGCCCTGCTCTCCCAGACCTGAAACTCTACCCCGTGTTCGTGGGCGGAGGACCTGGGCGCCTGGGCCCAACCGAGGATATGGAGGACCTGAACATCCAGCGGGTGCTGCGGGTCAACAGGACACTGTTCATCGGGGACAGGTACGCAGGGAGCCCGGACCTGGGGCGGCTGCTGCTGGGGGCTAGTTCCTGCTCGGGGGTGCTGGGCGTGGAGTTCTTAGGGTGCTGAACACGGTGCTGAGAGGCTGGAGCTGGCCTCGGTGTGTGAGTAGCGGAGGTCGAAAGTCACTCCTGAGTAGTCCAGCCAGTCCGGAAATTCGAGCTATGAAAGATGGCATGAGAGAGGGGCTGGGCAGAAGGGCTTCTCTGGGGAGGTGACATTTAGGTTGTTGAGAGCTAAACAATTTTTCAGCCATGATGAAACCTGGAGGATATTCCTTTCCAGGCAGCAGGCAGTCAATGCAAAGGCCCTGGAACAGGACAGAGCCTGACATTTTGCAGCAGCAGGGAGGAGGCCATGTGGCTGGAGCAAAGGGAGCAACTGGCGGGCGGAGAGAAAAAAGGGGAGAGGACGGAAGGGCCGTGCAGTGAGTGTCCTGGGGGCTGCAGGGAGGACCTGGGCTTTGCCACCACAGAGGTGGGAGTCCCGCAGGGCTGAAGGAGGGAGGATCCGACTCTGTTCTCGCAGCGCCCTCTGGTGGCCGCTGCAAGAAGAACAGATACGGGGTTGAGGATGCGCGCAGGGCACCAGGCCCTGGCCCTGCGCTGGTCCAGGCTGCGGGCTGGAGGTTGGGCCACGTGGAGGCCGTGGAGTGGGGAGAAGAAGGCGGGTTCTGGACAGACTGCGGGCAGAGCCAACAATACTAGCTGGTGTGCTAAATGTGTGAGGGGACAATAAGGGGGATTTGGGGAGCCTCACAAGTTGTCTGAGCCTCCCCCAAGGGTGAACCTGCCTTTAACTGAGATGGGGGTTAGCAGTGCATGTTTGGGGGATAGATCAGGTACAGCATGACCTTAATGAGTGAGTCTCCATGAATCCCAGAGGCACTGGGGGTGTCCAGGGGCAGTTGAACCCCAAGGCTAGTGCCCAGGCGTGGAGATAGGTCCAGGGTCATCATCCAGTTGTAGACAAAATTCAGAGCTCCAGGTGTGGGTGGAAGAGGGCATAGATAGGAAGGGGCTCAGAGACTACAGATGGAAGCCAGGCCAGCGCTTCGCCTCAGGGCTGCTTGAAGATGGGGTTCCCGGGAAGTGAGGTAACCAACAGAATCAGATGCTTTGAGAGGAGAATGATGGAGACGCATCCTGGACTTAACACAGAGAGGTCAGCAATGACCTTGACCCGGGCAGTTTCTGATGCGTGGAGGGGAGGGTACGAGCAGGAGAAATTCTGGGGCCCCGGTGGGTTCCTGGTGTGAAAGCATGGACGGTCGGTCGTGTCAGCCTGTGTATAAACGTGCGGTGGTGTGCCAGGTTCCCCGGGGGCGTGCAGGTAGCTTGGGAACCGGAATGTGCCCAGCGTGCAGCACTAATCGAGGCATTGGCGCGTCCCTGCACCGCACTGCTGGACACCAGCTTTGCAGCGGGCAGAATGGGCCTGGCAGGGATGGACACCCTTGTCTCGCTGGTCCCTCCCACAGGGATAATCTGTACCGAGTGGAGCTGGAGCCCCCCACGTCCACGGAGCTGCGCTACCAGCGGGTAAGAAGAGGCGAGGGCAGGAGGGGAGGGTTAGGATCTTCCACCAGGGAGTGCTGGGGAGCTGGGTGGAATTGACCCTGCCCAGCACAGGGATCCCAGGGCTGCTGGGGACTCTGCTCTCCTCACCAGTTCTTTCTGCCTACAGAAGCTGACCTGGCGCTCCAACCCCAGTGACATAGACGTGTGTCGGATGAAGGGCAAGCAGGAGGTGCGTGGACCTGGCCATGACCTGGTTCTGCTCCCAGCCCTGCCCCAACCTACCCCAGCCACGCCCACAGAGAAGCCTCCTCCTCTTCCACCTGCTCTGCGGCATCCCAGGCTACTACGACCCTGGTGTTGCTGTCCTTACGCCTGGAGCCTAGCCACGCCCCATGGCCACGCTCCCAACCCTGACCCTGGTATTATTGCAGCTGCAAAATTATTTCCTTGTCTTGTTCCCTGCTTTGGTTGCAGAGGTGTCCCCAGCGAGTCCTCTGCAGTGGCCATGCCCTCACCATGGTCCCCAGTGCTGGCATCACTCTCATCCCCAGCCCCTCCTCTCTGCGGTGCCTGTCACTCCCCGACCACGCCCACAAACAGGGCCACGCCCACATCAGCCTTCCCTTCCTTTCCCTCCCCTATGCACTGCAGGGCGAGTGCCGGAACTTCGTGAAGGTGCTGCTACTCCGTGATGAGTCCACGCTGTTTGTGTGCGGTTCCAACGCCTTCAACCCAGTGTGCGCCAATTACAGTGTGAGTCTCTACCCTCTAGAGTCTTGCCTGCCCCAACTCTGACCTCCAGGGCTTGGCTCTGCTATGTCCTTTGGCCATGATCCATATCATCTACTATGGGAAGCCTTCCCGTATGTGTCCCTCACCCCAGATCCAGAAGGGCCAGCGGTTTCCAAAAGAGGGCCTGAACAGGGTTCAGGGCAGCTGCAGCCTGTTAAACCACAAACTAATCTAAGTAGGACTAGCTCAGCCACAAGAGTCATATGAGGGTTGACCCTGAGGCCTGTTGACAGATCAGTACATGAGGCTCAGAGAGGTCACTCAGAACCCTGGTCACTGGCCAGGGTCACACAGCCACCCAGGGGAAAGCCACATTTTCTCCTGGAGTTGAAGGCTGGGGAAACTGGGGCTACCAGATCTGTCGCTCAGGCTGTCCTCCCTGCAGATGGACACACTGCAGCCTGTTGGAGACAACATTAGTGGTATGGCTCGCTGCCCATACGATCCCAAGCATGCCAACGTCGCTCTCTTCTCTGGTGAGTGTCTGACTTCCTGATAAGGCAGACCCCTGGGCATGCTCCAGCACTTTCCGTTCTTTCTTGAGGTCACTTAAAAGGCAGCTGGGTGACCAGTTGTCTACCCAGAAATTGGCAGAGTTCCAGTTCTGGTTGGTCCGGGGCTCTAAGAGGGCCAGGGTTCTGATGGGATCCAGGCATAGGTGATCTGAGATTCAGACAATATCGGGGCTCAGCCTGGAGCCAGGGTCCCCAATGTCTGACCCACCCAGTTCTGCACCCTAAAATCTAACCTCTTGCCTGTCTCCCTTGGCCCTCCTGGTTCCCAGATGGGATGCTCTTCACAGCCACTGTGACTGACTTCCTGGCCATTGATGCTGTCATCTACCGCAGCCTTGGGGACCGCCCTACCCTGCGCACTGTCAAGCACGACTCCAAGTGGTTCAAAGGTGGGAACAGGAGGGAGGGGAAATAACAGCGATTAAGGGGGCCAGGGAGATAGCTCGGTGGTCTAAGCGCCTGACTGCCTGCTTAGCAGGTGCAAGGACCCAGGTTTGATCCCTGGTACCACATGCCACACCAGCCCTGTGCTGTGCTAGCCACCCAAACCAGGTGTAGTGGTGCATGCCTGTAATCCCTGTGCTGGGAAGGCTGAGACAGGAGGATCACTGTGAGTCTGAGCTGCGTAGTAAGACCCTGTACCAAATAAATAAAGGATAATAATAATAAAAAGAACAGTGATTAGGGAGAGCTGTGTATATGTACCAATTCTCAAGGAAAATTAGATATTATGTTTCCCAAGCATCTAAATAAACTAAAGCAATCCCTGGTTTTGCCAAAAAAATAAATAAACTAAAGGATGATGGTGCAATGGAACTGACGTTGGTCAAACCCACCTACTAGAATTAGAGGCCTGGGCAACTGGGGATGGGACTCCATCACTCCATCTCATCCCACCCTTGTGAGTTGATTTGTTTTGTGGCACTGGATGGAGATCAACGCTCATACATGCTAGGCAGGTGCTTGCCCCTGAGCTGCTCCAGCAGCCTCTCCTGGTCTTTTAGAAGATAAACCAAGTGGAAAGATTTGGATCTAAAGTAGAACCTGCTGGAAGTGGGTGGCTTAGCCGCCCAAAATGGAAGTACAGGACAAATACAGCAGGAGCTCAGCTCTCTAACACATGAGGGAGGAAGAGGACGGGAAAATAGCAGATTTGCCATTTGGAGGGGAGTTGGACACAGTGCCTTTGGGCTTCTCAACGCCTTTGCCCCTCAAAAGAAAAAAAAAAAGTGAGCCCAGCTCGTTTTCCCAGATAGTCAGCGTAGGTCTATGAAAGTGGCTGCCCCGCCCTGGCCGCCCAGTGACAGTGGCTTCCTGCTCCTCCTCCCCACAGAGCCCTACTTTGTCCACGCAGTGCAGTGGCGCAGCCATGTCTATTTCTTCTTCCGGGAGATCGCGATGGAGTTTAACTACCTGGAGAAGGTGAGGCTGCTTCCCAAGAGGCTGATTGGGCAGTGGCTCAGGGACTGTTAGACTCCAACCTGGGGCAGTGGGAACAGAAGCAGGTCCCTGAATGTCCCTCCACCTGGGGCCACAACCTCCCACCCTCCTCTGTACCCCTCCTGCTGGGCCCTTGAAGACATGTAGGACAGTGGCCCTGAGGTCTCAGGCCACCTGGCCACCCACTTGGCCCTTCCCCACCTGTCTGTTGTCCATCCACTCCTGCCGCACTCCCACTTACCTGTCTGTCCTTTAGCCCACCCACAGTTCCACTGTGACCTTTATCCAGCTCCCCACCTGCCCACCCACTGACTCTGCCAACCTGCATCCATCTGTCCATCCATCCACCCAGCCACTCAGCTGCCCACCCGTCCACCTGTCCGTCCATTCGTCCATCTGTCCATCCATCCATCCATCTGTCCATCCCATCCCTCAGTCCATCCAGGCACCCAAATAGTGGTAAGGTACAAAGACCACCACTTACCACTCTGGGCTGCTCACTTCCCTTCTGCCATGCCTTGTTTTCCCCACCTGTACAGTGGCGCCCCCTGCAGGCCATCCCTGTTGCTTTTGGGAGGACTGCTCCCCTTGGCCTGCATGGCAGGCAGCATGATTGTGGCTGAGCCTTCCCAAGATCCCAGGCTCAGGTCCCCTATCCGTGGCTGCCACATGCAGGTGGTGGTGTCTCGCGTGGCCCGGGTGTGCAAGAACGACGTGGGCGGCTCCCCACGCGTGCTTGAGAAGCAGTGGACGTCTTTCCTGAAGGCGCGGCTCAACTGCTCCGTGCCTGGGGATGCCCACTTCTACTTCAACGTGCTGCAGGCTGTCACTGGCGTGGTCAGCCTGGGTGGCCGGCCCGTCATCTTGGCCGTCTTCTCCACACCGAGCAACAGGTGCGTGGGCACTGCAGGGTGACGAGGGGCCACAGGCTGGGGTGGGAGAAGGAACCAGGGAGGACTTCTTGGAGGAAGGGGCATCAGAACAGTGTGTGTGAGAGAGACCGAGGAAGAAGGAAGGGTACCCCAAGTGTCCAGGTCCTGAGGCTGTGAACATGGGTCCGTTAAGTCACAGAGAGGAGAGGAGAGGACAGATAGGCATGGCAGGGAGGCAGCCGGGTGATGGGAGGGTGCAGGTAAGGCGAAGAGCCTGGATTCATCTCAAGTGCACTCAGGAGCCATAGGAGGTGATAGAGGGAGAGAGGGCGAAATCAGAGGTGCACTTTTAGAAAGGTCTCAGGGGAATGAATTGACAAGACAAATGTGACGGCCACTGGAGGCTGAGTGCCCAGGAGGGCCACTGTGGGTGGCTTTGGGGAAGCTGAGCAAGGATCAGCTGAGATTGTGCAGAAGGTACATGAGCTGGATTTGACGAGCAGGCAGGCAAGGCCACATCCTGAGCACAGGGATTGAAGGCCCGTCCAACAGCCAAGGACAGGGTCTCCCTGTCCCTCTTCCCCGGGTGCCACTTCCACCGGGCTCATTAGAGCCTCCTGTCTGCACCCCCAGCATCCCAGGCTCGGCTGTGTGCGCTTTTGACATGAGGCAAGTGGCTGCTGTGTTTGAAGGCCGCTTCCGCGAGCAGAAGTCTCCTGAGTCCATTTGGACCGCGGTGCCAGAGGATCAGGTGCCTCAGCCCCGGTGAGAGCCCCCCCCCCCCCGCCGCCACGGTCCCCAAAGGGATCGTGGGCCCCAGGTAATCAGGCTGGGACTTCCAGGCTGCTCACGTCTGGCCTGACGTCTCCCTTCCTCCTTCCTCAGGCCAGGGTGCTGTGCAGCCCCGGGCTCGCAGTACAATGCGTCCAGCGCCCTGCCCGACGAGATCCTCAACTTCATCAAGACGCACCCACTGATGGATGAGGCGGTGCCCTCGCTGGGCCACTCGCCCTGGATCGTGCGCACACTCATGCGGTCAGCACTGGTGGCACAGGGAGGGGGCACAGGCACATGACGGGGACATGGGGATACTTTGGGCCTGGCTGGGATTGCATATGCAACCCAGCTCAGTTGCAGTGTCTGGGGTGGGGTATCTTCTACAGGACCAGGAGCCTGTCTGCGCACGCGCACATCTAGGCCTGTCAGGCTCACTTATGTGGGCGTGGCTACGTGCTCCTATAAAACCACCCCCCTGCACCCTTGGTGCCAGATGCCACAAGGCCAGCATGACGCCCTGTCCCGTCTCCCCTGCAGGCACCAGCTTACCCGAGTGGCCGTGGACGTGGGTGCTGGCCCCTGGGGCAACCAGACGGTGGTCTTCCTGGGCTCGGAGGTGGGCACTGTCCTCAAGTTCCTCGTCTGGCCCAATGCTAGTGACACGGGCACCACTGGGCCCAGTGTCTTCCTGGAAGAATTTGAGACCTACCGGCCTGACAGGTGAATTGGGACAGGCAGGAAGGTGGATCGGGGGGCGGGGGGGGGGCAGAGACACGGATGGTTGCGGTGATCCTCCTTGGTCATTTTCCTGGCCCCAGGTGCGGACGACCTGGTGGTGCCGGCATCGAGACAGGGCAGCGGCTACTGAGCCTGGAGCTGGACGCAGCCTCTGGCGGTCTGCTGGCGGCCTTTCCCCGATGCGTGGTCCGCGTGCCTGTGGCCCGCTGCCAGCAGTACTCGGGATGCATGAAGTGAGTCTCCCGCCCATGCTAAGTGTGTGTGGGGACAGAGGGGATGAGCATGGGGAGGCAGGAGGATGGCCCCCCTAGTTCACTGATAGGCCAAGTTTGTGCAAAGGCCCTGGGGCAGGACAGAGCACAGTAAGGTCCAGGAGCAGCGAGGAGCCTGTGGGGCTAGAGTAGAGGGAGCAGGGGATAGAGAGGAAGGAGGGAGGGGGCAAGGGGGCAGATGAGTAGTACAGGGTACCGTGAACTGCAGGAAGGACCTGGGCTTTAGCCCCAGGAAGGCGGAACTATGGCAGGCTGAGGGCATAGAAGAGGGAGAACCTGCTTTGGTATTCATGGCACCCCCTGGTGACTGCTGCAAGGAGGACAGTGAGGTGGGCAGCCAGGGTGTGACAATGAGGGGACCAGGGTAGAACCTGTTTTGTGGTCTCCAAGTGGGAGGAAATTGAGATGCCACGCACTGGGCTCCTCTGGGCTTGGTGTGTGCTCAGCATGGAGCACCAACCGCCGGTGTCACTGCAGTCACCACTCTGCCATCCCACACTGAGGACAGAGCCTAGGCCTACCTGCCAGGGCACCATCCTAACTGCTGCTTGGGCCAAAGAGAGGTTCCTGAGCCTCAGTTTCCTTACCTGTGAGTGGAGTGGCAAGCAGCCCCCACCTCAAAGATCTGTCCTGCCCTGGCGAGCAGGTCCTGGGTGCCGAGACTGACCGTTGGTCCCTTACAGGAACTGTATCGGCAGCCAAGACCCGTACTGCGGCTGGGCCCCTGATGGCTCCTGCATCTTTCTCAGCCCAGGAACCAGGTAGAGGGTGGGGTGGGACACACTTCACCCTGCCCCTGGCCCTGCTGCTTAGGGGGTATCTGACCTTCTGTCCTGCCTTCCCTCCACTCAGAGCCGCCTTTGAGCAGGACGTGTCTGGTGCCAGCACCTCAGGCTTAGGGGACTGTACAGGTGGGTGGAGGAGAAGCAGCCTTGGGCCTGTGAACCCCTGGCACTGGAGTCTCTTGTCCCCTGTGACACAGCACCCTCCGGGGGGTGGCATCCATCAGAGTGTTGGGAGGGCAGGAGCCACACATTCTTGGATGGGGAAGTGGGAGGATGGACTGCAGGAGACCAAGCCCCAAAGAGGGTCCCAGGCACAGCTCCAAAAGGGAAGTAAAGCAGCAGATGGACAAGCTTTATCTTTTTTCCCTCCATGGGTAATTGAACTCAGGGCCCTGCACTTGGCAGGCAGATGCTGTGCTGCTGAGCTCCATCCCCAGCAGATGCATAAGTTTTGAGAAGCCAGACAGGCTGGAGACCCATGCCCAAGGACCCGCAGGCTGACAAGCTTCGAGCTTCGTGATTACCAAACGGGCCAGTATAGATTGTAGTCCCAGTTGCTTGAGAGGCTGAGGCAGGAGGATTGCACATTCGAGGGCTCCATGGGCTGCTTGGCAGAAACTTGTCTCAAAAAAATACAGAGTTGGGGCTGTCAGTTAGTATGAAGGCAAGTCCTCAGGTTAGTCCCCAAGAACGCCAGGAAAGCAGTGGGGGCCGCCTGGAATGTGGCTGAGCGGTGAGTACTGCATAGCGTGGAGGCTGCCCTGGGCTCCGTTCCCAGCTCTGCAACAGTAAAAGGGCAGACAGGCACCCCAACAGGCACGCAGCCGGGAGGACCTGAGGCAGACCGAAAGAACCTACGCTCACCAGGCCCCTTGCGCCCTCTGCAGGCCTCCTGCGCGCCAGCCTCTCAGAGGAGCGAGCCGGGCTGGTGTCAGTGAACCTGCTGGTGACCTCATCGGTGGCGGCATTCGTGGTCGGGGCGGTGGTGTCCGGCTTCAGCGTGGGCTGGTTCGTGGGCCTGCGCGAGCGGCGGGAGCTGGCGCGGCGCAAGGACAAGGAGTCCATCCTGGCACACGGCGGTGGCGAGGCGGTGCTGAGCGTGAGCCGCCTGGGCGAACGGCGTGGGACCGGGCCTGGGGGCCGCGGAGGGGGCATGGGCGGGGCTGGGGGTCCCCCCGAGGCGCTGCTGGCACCCTTGATGCAGAATGGCTGGGCCAAGGCCACGCTGCTGCAGGGTGGCCCGCACGACCTGGACTCTGGGCTGCTGCCCACGCCCGAGCAGACGCCACTGCCGCAGAAGCGCCTGCCCACACCGCACCCACAAGTGCACGGCCCGGGCCCCCGCGCCTGGGACCACGGCCACCACGCACTGCTGTCCGCGTCCGCGTCGTCCTCGCTGCTGTTGCTGGCGCCGGCCCGTGCCCCGGAGCAGCCGCCCCTGCCGGGCGACCCCGCCCCCGACAGCCGCCTCTGTGCGCCCCGGCCTTCGCGCGCCTCGCACGGCGACTTCCCGCTCACCCCACACGCCAGCCCGGACCGCCGGCGCGTGGTGTCTGCGCCCACGGGCCCCTCGGACCCGGGTTGTGCGGGCGACAGCCTGCCCCGGCCCTGGAGCCCGCCCCCGACGACGGGCAGCCTGCGGAGACCCGGTCCCCACGCTCCCCCGGCCTCGGCGCTGCGCCGCACGCACACGTTCAACAGCGGCGAGGCGCGCCCGGGAGACCGGCACCGTGCACGACCTGCCCGCCCGGGTTCAGACTCGGCCCACCTCCTCCCCTATGGGGCAGGGGACAGGACTGCGCCCCCGGTACCCTAAACCGGGGCCCCCCAATGCCTTGGCAGTGCCAGCCACTGGAACCAGGAGCAGGAGACGGCGCCAGGACACCGGCCCCGGCCGGCTCCGCTGGGTGCTCAAGCCCCCCACCCCGGCCTTTCTGGGACCCCCCTCAGCCACACGGAAGCACAAGAGCGCGCGCTCCCCGCGGCGGCAGGCAGCTGGGGTGCAGGACTCTGAGACCACCGAGTTGGGCGGGTGGACGTAGGGATCTGCTGTGAATTTGAGATTGACCTTCTGCGTAGACATTTTTGGTTTCTTTTGCAGTTTTTCTAAGGAATTGCACAACTCCCTTTTTGGGGTGGTGGCTGGAGGGGGTGGTTCAGGCCTTGGATGGGGAGTAGGGGGTACAGCTGCAGACCCAAGTCCCTCTACCTCCTCGGAAAGGTCCCTCCCCAGGCCGGGCCCCTGGCGTGTGTGGGTGTGTGCGCGTGTGCATGCCGTGTTCGTGTGCAAGGGCCAGGGAGGGAGGCGCGTGTGTGTGCCCAGGGCCACCCGTGCTGTGTGTGTGTCTTAAGAGTGAATGTGGGGACCCCAGTGGCCCCGGGTCGGCTGAGCCAACACCGGGGCTTCCGAGGTGCCGGTCAGGAGTTTGGGTCATGCTTCTGCAAAGGGAGCAGGGATGGCCGGGTCCAGGCGAGCAGACGGAGAGCCCATGTATGGGCACAGCAGCAGCAGCTCCTAAAGGGCTTGGGGGTCGGGTGGGGGGGCAGTGGAGGCAGGTAGGGCCCCTGTAAATACGGCCCCAGGGTGGTCAGAGAGTCCCAGGCCACCCGACCCCTTGTGACCTCCCCCCGACCTCCAGCTGACTGTGCATGCCACGTAGCCGGCTCTCTGGAGTTCACCTCCCCTGGCCCCTCCCCATCAATAAAACTCTGTTTACAACCACCGGCCCCCATGGCTCTGGGCCTGCTCTGTGTCCTGGGGGTGGCCCAGTGCAGTGAGCACAGCTTTGAGATACCTGATGGTGTCAGGAGACGACAGAAACCTGAGGTGCTGGGCTAAACACCATGGGGTCCCCACCTGGCACCCTGGTGTCAGAGGCTGAGGTAGGAGGATTACAAGTTCAAGGCCAGGGCTGGTGAGATGGCTCAGTGGTCTAAAGCACCTACTTAGAACAAGCTAAGCTAAACAAAGCACAGGGACCTTGGTTCAATCCCCCAGCACCACATGCCAGCCAGCCCCACCCCCTGGTGGGCTGAGCTGGCCACACACACACACACACACACACACTAAATAAATTTAAAAAAAAAAATACAAAAAAAAACCAACAAGTTCAAGGCCAGTCTGGGCAATGTAGCACTAGCCTGGTTGAAAATGAAATGAAAAGGATTGGGGCTATAACTCAGAGGTGAGCACTTGCCTAGCCCGCATGAGGCCCTGGGTTCCACCCCCAGCACTGCAAAGGAAGGGGAAAGAAACCACTTGGCAAAGACTGGGAAGGTAGCTAGGGAAGTTGGGAGGCGGGTCCTGTGACATGAGTGAGCCGGGAGGCTGAGGAGCAGGAGGGGATTGATGGCAGTTATTCTTTTTTTTTTTTTTTTGTCGGAACCGGGGGTTGAACTCAGGCCCTTGCACATGATTATTCTCCAGAGCCATCTCCCCATCCCCTATTCTTTTTGAGATAGATCTCACTAAGTTATTAGGTTTCTCAGTTCAATAACTTCAAGGGGTGATCCTCCTGCCTGGGAGGATCCTGGGCGGTTAGGTGTCACAGGACCACATCATTAAGTAGTGCTGAGCACATTTCCTTGGCTGTGCAGCGGTCGCCATCTCTCTCTAGAATGTTCTCACCTTCCTAAATGACACGCTGACATCCATTCAACACAGCCACCCCCACTTACAGGTTTTAAGTGGGGCACAGAGCCGCAGGAGCGGGTCCTAGACAGAGGATCTGATCCTGTTTCGAGAGGTGGGCTTGGGGCTGGTGAGATGGCTCAGTGGTCTAAAGCACCTACTTAGAACAAGCTTAGCTAAAGCACAGGGACCGCGGTTCAATCCCCCAGCACCACATGCCAGCCAGCCCCGTCCCCTGGTGGGCTGAGCTGGCCACACACACACTCACAAATAAATAAAAAATTAAAAAAAAAAAAGAGGTGGGCTTGGGGGTAGAGCTGTGAACAGGACAGACCCACAGGCCCTCTGCATGGGGCACCAACCCTAAGCGCATTCAGTTGGGTGCAGTGGAGCATCCCTGTTATCCCTGTAGTCTGGGAGGCTGAGACAGGAGGATTACATATTCAAGTCCAGATTGAGCAACTTAGCGATTTTGCAAAACCCTGTTTCAAAATAAAAATTGCTGAAAGTGTAGCTCAGTGTGAAGGTCTTGGGTTCCCTGGTAACACACACACACACATGCGCGCGCAAGCCTCAGCAGCTGCCCCTGAACCCGTCCTGTGTGCTCACTGGGTTTGTCCCTGCCTGTGGCTCTGTGACCTCCTCTCTGCTCTTTCTGGTTGTGACTAAGTATTTCTGCCTGTGTCCGTGTCATGTCCGCGTGTGCACAGGTGTACATTTATCTTCCTGCCTCGCCCGATGTGCCCTCCTGCTGGCGGGGGGAGCATTTGCCCTGAGCCTGGGTTGTTCCCTTTAGAGCCCTTAATCTTCTCAAATCTGAATAGTGACAAAATACATCCAAGGTTGGGCCAGGGGAAGGGGTCATAGCCAAGTGTGATGGAAACCCTGGGCATAAGCCGGGCATGATGGCGCAGGCTTGCAATCCCGTACTCAAAGGGCTGAGGCAGGAGGAGCTCTGTGAGTTCAAGGTGAGCCTGAACTAATAGCAAGATGCTGTCTCAGAAACCAAATTCAATCAATCAATTCCGGGGTATAGGTTTTTTTTGCAGAACTGGGGATTGAACTTAGGCCCTTGCACTTGCCAGGCAAGTGCTTATTCCACTGAGCCATCTCCCTGGCCCCAATTCCTGGGTATAGGTAACAAAACACACCATACTTGAATATTTAGGACTCAGTAAGAGCTGGATATGGTGGCCAGTACCTGTCACCTCAGCATTTAGAAGATTTTTCCTCTGTCTCTGTCTCTCTGTCTCTGTCTCTCTGTCTCTGTCTCTGTCTCTCT